AAACATCTACTTCCCCTCATCTTAATGAAGTGGTCTCTTCCACTCATTTAATTGTAAAAGGAGAGAAGATATTTACACTATAATTGATGAAATGATTGTAATTTTGAATGATTTAATATTGAAATATTTATTCAAGTGAATAATTACACACTATTTTGTTTCTAGACAGAATTTGCAGAAACAGTAATTTTCACTTTATCATTTGTTGCCATTTCCATCCATGTAATAGAACATCTATATTGCTCACAGGCATCTAAACCCCAAACTACTTCAAATCAGTTTAATTGAGTTTATATTCTGAAACTTTCACAATAAGCACTTTCAGAGAAACCAAGAATAATTTGGACACAAACTGAGACCCAAAATACAAATTTTACAGCTGAAATCCTACCTGTATTTCCCTTCTCATCTTCTCGGATATGTAGTTCTTTCACAGAGGTCTCCAAATCCAACAAATCTCGAAGTTCTTCCTTGTAAACCTCTATATATGATACCTTCACATGGAAGTTGATGTTACAGTGTTCAGAAATATGCTGGAATAATTCCTGAATAGCCCGTGGGATTATGCCCCTTTCATCCACTGCAACTGATGCTAAAATATAAGCACAAATGTCACAGAGACTTGCAGTCGTTCTGTCACATAAATTATAAAAACTGAAAATTGAAACAAGTCTGTGATATTTGATATGCAAAATACTAAGGAATCTGAAGAGCTCATTGCTCACAATAATTTTTGTAATTTTTTTTCTGTGTCAGAATTTTTGTTTGCATCCAGTACTAGGATTCAAATTTAAGTTCTCACAGTCATTAATGTTATAAAAATATGAAGTCTGTTTTAAAATCATACTCCTCAGAGTACTGATTTCTTCTTTATCTCTACTCATTATGGTTGGCAATGACATCTCAAGGATTTGAGAATTATAAATTCTACTTTGTCCTGCCCTTGAGTCACAACAGTCTCCTCAAGCACAACAGGCTGGGTGAGGTCAGAGTTGCTGGAAAGCTGCTCAGCCAGAAAGGCCCTGGGGGTGCTGGTCAGCAGCAGCTGAACGTGAGCCAGTGTGCGCCCAGGTGGCCAAGGTCAATGGCATCTTGCCCTTTTATCAGCAACAGTGTGGCCAGCAGGACCAGGGCAGGGATTGTCCCCCTGTATTCTGCACCGGTGAGGCTGCACCACAAATCCTGAGGTCAGTTCTGGGCCCATCTCTGTAAGAAAGACATTGAGATGCTGGAGTGTGTCCAGAGAAGGGCAATGGAGCTGGGGAAGAATCTGGAACACAGATCCTGTGAAGAGCAGCAAAGTGAGCTGGGGTTGTTTAGTCTGGAGAAAAGTGGACTCAGGAAAAACCTTATCGCCCTCTGCAGGCACCCTACAGAAGGATGCAGCCAGGTAAGGGATGGTCTCCTCTCCCAGGCAAAAGCATGACAGGACAAGAGGAAATTACCTCAAGTTGCACCAGGGGAGGTTTAGATTGGATATTAGGAAGAATTTCTTCACTGAGAGGGTGCTCAAGCATTGGAACAGGCTTAATTGTGGACCTGGAAATGCTGGGTTAACAGTTGGAATTTATGGTTTTAGGGGTCTCTTACAACCTAAATGATTCTGTGATCCTATGATTCTAAATAAAAGGAAGACCTTAACAAGAGGCTTACAATAATCTATTTATATCCATTTGGAAGAATTAAATAATAAATTTCTTTAATGTCACAGAAATTTCCTTCAAAAAAATCCAAACAAAGAAACTTAACACAGAGGCAGCAAGCAAACAATTAGGTGCCTAATGCAGGCATTTTCAAGGTAAGATAAACATAGCAAGAACCTTCAAAGCTTCTATATTTCAGAAAACAATTTCAAATTGCATGTTGAAATGTGGAATGTGAAAGAGCACTTAATAAATTCTTTTTTCTTAGATATTTTTGGCATAGTTTAATTTATGAAGAAGTTTTTAGAACTTTAATTATCACATAAACTTTGGAAGCTTTTTCTTTTACTACAGGATTTTTTCTTAGTCTTTAAAATAATGCAGCAGCATCTGCTATGTAATAAATATTTAACTTGCACAAATACTCTTTACCAATTAAAAAAAAACCCAAACCCAAAAACGTTTCTACAACCTACCAATGTGGTCACCACCAATCGTGTAAGTCTTCCCAGAACCAGTCTGTCCATATGCAAAAACTGTAGCATTGTATCCTTCAGTCAGAGACACCAGAAGAGGCTTAATGCAAACAGCGTAAACTTCTTCTTGGGTTGAATTTTTGCCAAATACGAAATCAAAAGTGAAGACATGGTCCTTTCCAATGATAACTTGTTTAGCATTTGGGACTAATCTGACACACACTTGGTGGTTATGAAGTATTTCTTTGGAAAGCAGAGGTCTGATTCGGACTGCAACTTTAACTGGGATCTCTTCCATGCCAGACTCCACCCCTGTGCTTTCCACTCGGTATTCACATAGTCAAGGAGAAATCTGTTACTACTGCTCTGTTTACCTCATTCACAGTTGTCTGCAGCTAAAAAATAAAGATTTTCCATGTTATATAATACAAAAGAATTAATTTCATGAAGTGAAAATTTGAGATTTCCTAAGGAATACATAAGCACTATCACAATCTTGAAAAATACCTGATATAAATGCAGCTCTAATGATAACTGCTTAATCAATTATTAATTTTGCCTCTATTAATTTCAAAGCTAGCAGACTTAAGTCTGAAAGTTGCCTGATTTCCTATTTGAATATAACACAGCCAAACAAAGCAACAATGTTGTCAGAGCTTGTTAATAAACACTGTTGATAAAGCAAAGGCTTATAACGGATCCTCTCATTTTCCTATTCCTGCATTCATATTGCATAGGCAATAAAAATCAGACTAATAGTTTTTCTTCCAAAATTGTGCATATATAYGTTTCAAAACCCTCTTCTACTTACGAAGCAACACGCAATTCTAACTCAACAAATATAAATAAGTGTCATTTTAAAGGTACTACATGTAAAGCATTCCTCTGGTTTTAATATAAAACTTTAAGCACATGTAGTTATCTTTTAGTAATTATAATTTTAGGATTCCTTATGCAGCTGGGTGCATATTCATTCTTCCAGCATAAGCATGGCACAATAGCACACCTGTAAATATTAAGGAATTGCCTTTCTTTAAAGTTGTTTTTCATTAGAATTCAAAGATCTGCATGGGGTCCCACACACATATTTTCTGTTGTTTCTAATTCTGAGAATCTTTGTCATGCAAGGTAAAGTTAGTCCTGCTCTCACACACATTGCATTCAAGAAAGCTGTATTACTGAACTGGCAGAAATCAGCTAAGCCCCCCAAATTCAAGTTTGTTGAAAACTAACAGCTTAAAACGGTGTTGTCTTGCAGCTGCAGAGAAAAAGCTTTTGCGTTTTTTATTTTATTCCTTTTAGTTTGAGGACTTGGCTATCCACAGCTGAAAAACCATCTGAAGTCTGAAAAAAGAAAAGCCCCATTTTATTGACTGAGCATAAGAACAAGCAAGCAAAACACGAGTGAGTCAAGACRTGTATCATAAGGGACATGGAAATCAGAAACAGATACATAAACATACCAACTACAGATTAAAAACACATTTTGAATGATAACTGAGCTATCTGGATGCAAAAGAATGTAGGAATATGAAATATGCCTAATCTAGAGAGATACTTCAGCGCCAGTGCCGAAGTTGGTGGTTGCCATAAGGCGGGAGCAAACATACTGGCAACCTTTTCATTTGCAGTGAAACTGTGAGGGCGGCCCAGTACATTTTCCGTGTTTGTCGCGTCTGCAAACCTGAGGATAGCTGGGGTCGGTATCACATGAGGGTGTCGGGAGACGCCGGGGCCGTGCCGGAGTGCCCTGGCCGGAGTGGGGTCCGGAGGGAGGGCCGGAGAGAGGGCTGGAGGGAGGGCTGGAGGGCGGCTAGAGGGAGCGCAGGAGGGAGAGCAGCAGCGAGGGCCGGAGCGAGGGCAGGAGGGAGGACAGGAGGGAGGACAGGAGGGAGGGCAGCAGCGAGGGCAGGAGGGAGGGCAGCAGCGAGGGCAGCAGCGAGGGCAGCAGCGAGGGCCGGAGCGGGGCGGCAGCAGTAGCGGTGAGCGGGGCGGCAGCAGGCCGGGCCCCGCGCTGTTTACAGCCCTCGCTAGGCAACGGCCGCCACGCCCGGCAGCCAGCCCGCCCACACAGCGCCCCCGGTGGCGGGAGGAGCAGCGCTCCGTCCCTCCTGCCCGCCGCCAGCGGGGCTGGGCCGCTCGGGTCAGCAGCGACACTGAGGGSCTGCAGCGTGTCCAGACAAGCGCAACGCAGCTGGGGACCGTTCTGGAGCACAAGTCCTGTGAGCAGCGTCTGAGGAGCCGCTGGACAAAAGGAGGCTCAGGAGAGGCTTTATCACTCTCTACCACCGCCTGAAAGGAGGGTATAGCAAGATGGCGTTCAGCCTCCTTTCACAGGCGACAACTGCCAGTACAAAAGAAAATAGCCTCAARGTGTGATAGGGAAGGTTTAGATTGGATATTAGGAAACATTTTTTCTCACAACGTGTGATTAAATATTGGAACAAGCTGTCCAGGGAGGTGGTGGAGTCACAGGTCCTAGGGGTGTTTAAGGAAAAGACTGGATGTGGTGCTCACTCAGTGCCACAGTCTAGTGGACAAAACGGTGATCAGTCCAACCTGACTGAACACAGATTTGGTCGCGATGATCTCAGAGATCTTTTCCAACCTAAGTGATTCTGTGATTCCTCCCCTCCCTTCCTACCTCTCTGCCCTTGTAGACTGAGATCCCCTATCTCACCCACAGCAGTAAAAACACAAATGCACCTTTTGGTACATCTGTCACGGCACTGTTTATTGGACAAATGGATTGCTTTCATCTCTGAGCAGTAAAGCAYATGCTGAGCACCTGCCACGTCTCTGCAGGTATGAGAGGGGATGGGCAGGCACGGGGAGGGGCTGGGGAGGAAAGTACATGTGAAAAACGAGGTTCACTCTCCTGTTAAAATTTAAAAGGTTTTAATAAATGACAATAGAGTACATAAAAGCAAAAGGATACGGCGCTGGGTGTTTGGCTAGCTGCCAGAGGCACATCTGCTATTGACAGGAGACATCTTTAAATACATTTCRGATTACATCAGCGTAATGGCTATTCATAGGCATTTACGCATATTCAAACTTTTCTAGGAACTGTTTAGCAGGGCATCTCCTCCGGTGTACCCCCTTTCCCCYGTTCAGTGGTTTCAGTAGATGACAGTTGTTGATAAGGAAGTGTCCATAGCAGGGGCCCCTGGGCTGTCCATGCAGATAAGCCCATCYGAAGACTGGGGGTCCCACCAACAAGCAGAGGACACGACTATGACTAGAGACTTTCCACACACGTCCCAAAGCCTCTGTTCCTTCCACCTCTACCCTTTCGCTGTCAGGGCCTGTGCTGGCCTGGCATCTGACAGCCCTGTCATTGCCTGGGGCAATGGCCTCCCCACCCCGAGGGTGCTAAGTATCATGATTTCTTTGTGAATGTATGAATCCTTTTCCCCAACTCTGAGCTGCTTCTTATCTTTAAGGACCACTGGCCCTAGGGCCTCATTCAGGGCTTTTTGGTGACTTTCTTTGCCAATTTTGTATAGTTTTGCTATCATATGAAAAGTATCCTTTATGGAAATGTTTCAGTCACAAGCCATAACACTTCAGTTTAACCACAAGTATTCTATAACTGTACCTGAGTTACAAAAGAAAAACAAACCCATCAGATGATTTTACCACTGTGTCTGCATAACTAAGCTACTTATGCAAAAAAGGCAACATTGTACACATATCACTCATCTTAACATTTGCGAAAGCCAACACTATAATACGTGTTTATAACAGTACACCACAGCATCTGCACACACACCTGGCTGTGCGCACAGGCAGCCACATACACCAATACAGAGCACAAAACAGGAGTAACAAACCCTGCCTTAACATGGGTTGCCTGCAAAGTTTACACTTGATTTGATTCAGGGCAAACAAAAGATTAAGAGAAAAGGTAACAAAACAATGGACAAAAAACAAAGTAGTTAATACATCACTAGAAAAGAAGTATTTGATGTAACAGTTCCGAATTAGTGCACAACAAACCACCATATGAAAAGCAAAACGGCAGTTCAAGAGATAAGGCAACAATACAACAGTTATCAGACTGGACTTAGTAATATATACACCGTACTCGGTGAAATGGGATATCTTTCATGTCTTCCCTGTGATCCCTGGCGTAGTCCCAAAGATAGTAATCGAGTAAAACCGCATTGATCTTTCCATGCATGTCCTGACCCTTCTTCTGATACAGCTCCTGAAGGTGCTTACAAATCAATGCACAACACCAAATAGAACAGCCACGGATCTCTACCTCTTCTTTATCTCCAGACTGAAAAAGCGTTCCTGCAGACACAAGACACAGTAATCCATTTACATGCAACAGACAGAACACCAAGGACTGCCTAAATTTGTTCATTATTTCCCCCCTCACATTTATTCTGTTCTAGGATTCCAGTTCTCCTGACTTATATTACAACTGTTAACAATGTTGCTACACATTTTCTAATGATTACTTCAACATTACCATATGCACTTAGAAGCTTCCCTCCCATTCAATTCAAACAACATCCTGCATTCTAAGGAACTGCTGTAGGAACAGGATGTCCTGCAAATCATATGATCACTTCTTTGCTTGTAGAGACAAAAAAGATAGTCTTTTATTATAATATACTTTTTAGCATATAATTATTATACTTCAAAATGTATTTTCTGCCAGATTAACTCAAGTCTAAGATTTCAAAATTAAAACCAAACAACCCCCAAAAGAACTAAATGTAAAGAGAAACGCTATAATTATTTAAATGGAAATGTTCTCATTAGAAATCATGGGAGGATAAAATGTCTATTCTGTCTATTTAATATATAGACATGCATAAATACATAAATACACGTATGGCCATTCTATTAAGATCCATGGGTGACTGCATTCATCTGTTTATCTTCCTAAGCATTTCTGAAATTCCATAATAGCAGTTCTACATCTGAACACAATCATTTTACAATGCAAAAGAGATTTGCTTATTTTTATTCACTAAAATTCATAGTTAGTAAGTACTGGAAGATGAAATCATGCCTACAGAATGAGATTCTAGTCATATGTATAACTTCATTTAAAGCAATATTTTTTTAATGGATGCTTATAATATTGTTCTTGTTAACCAGCAGTTCAGTATAAATAAAGAGGAATTCCCATGCTTTTACGTCATATTTGAATTAATGAAATCATTGTTTCTTTTATGTAAACCTCAAAAGTCATAACTATTCTCATGCTGTAAAGTGGTTTTGCAACAGCAGCTTTCCAGAAACTCAGAAACCAACTACCTGGGAGTCTCTTCAATACCTCCCTTATCAATGTTTAATCCACAAAGAAGTTAAGTCTTTATAAAAAGTAGCCTTAAGATCTCATTCGAGATCATGGTTAGAAAAAAAGCTCCTTTTTGTTATCTCACCACTACGCAAGAAATCCTTGTTCCCTGGAGGAAAAAAATGGACACATAACTCTTACATGGACAACATATTACATTTTAGAACAAGCCTTAGTYTACAATGTCAAGAGGCAACATTACTTGATATTACCAAGGGCAGAACAAACCTTCACGTAGCTTCTTCATTAACTCTTCAGAATACTTCATTGCTTTCAGGTGAACAAGAACTTGAGGAATTCTGTAGTCAGCAAATATTGTCAGACTAGAAATATCATCAAAAGAGCCATCTCCTTTGCCTTCTAATACACTCCATGTGTCAGCCACAAGTATTTGTGCTCGTTTGTAGAAAGACACCTTCTTTTTCTGAAGAAAGAAATGTATAGATTATTTAAGTACCTGAAACATCAATTAATATAGCAAGTAACATGTTAAGCAAACATTAGTTAACTAGAACAGAATAAAACTGCAACACTCTTAAACATCTTAAAATCTAAACAATATCAAACTACAAACAAGCATTATGTGGAATGCTCATAAATAAACTAAAATAAAAGAATAACGTAATAAAAACCACTGCATTGAATACAAGTTGTTCAGAATATGCCTGGATCTCAGAACACATTCATATTGGTTTACTTCCACCAGGCAAAAATTACAGTTGAAAGTCCAGCAACATTAATTTCAAGAAACTTTCAAGATTTCAGAATTTCAAGATTTCATCAAACCTTTTAATTTCACAAGAGAAGCATAATAGCAATGTAATATACTAGACAATTAAAATGTTTTGTTAATCCATTTATCTGTACAACTCTTACATCCTCAAAATTCCTACCTTCCCTGAGCCTCATTCTATACTTGACATAGACGCACAAACTTACTTCTAGAGAACATACATGATTTTTGCATGTTAAGTAACAAAACACCACCTGAAACATCATACAAGAAGTGGTAAGAAAATGTAAAAAATTAACAGACCAAATTTCATCATAGCTCCTACTGCCCCAAAGCAAGGGTGCTCTTTCATAGCATTAAGATTTTTCCAGTAGGAAAGAACTGGGTGTCTCCAGCATCACACTATTTCACAGGAGCAGAGGGAGGCAGAATTTGAATGGAACTTTTCATTTCATGCTACAGTTCAATGTGGAAGAAAAATATTATCTGGGGCTCATCACTCAGCAGATGAATTTATAATTTCATTGTTTCGACTGCTAATTTTTATGTTGCATAGAGCTTATTAAGTTCATATAAAAATCTCAATATGAAAAATACTAAGCATTTCTAGTAAATTTTCCCACTGTTTATCAGAAAACAAGGAAAGCACTAGGTGGATGATACTACATCTCAAAGAGGAAAAATCCAAGAACTACTTTACTGTGCAGGTGACTGCACTGGCACAGATTGTCCACAACCTCCAACCAACCAGAGAGGTTGTGAACAGTCTCCCTCATGGAAGATACTCAAGAACCGCCTGGACACAATCCTGTGCCATGTGCTGCTCTAGGATGACGGTGCTTGAGCTGGAAGGTTGGACCAGACGACACCCTGTGGCTGCTTGAAGCTTTAACTAGTGATTCTGTCTGTGAAAGACAGAAAAGATAGCACAGCTTATCAAATAATGGAACTTTTTATCAAGATAGCAATACAGCTGTATCTTTTTTTCTGCAACACCCTGCCTTTCCAGAAAATAGTACCACATACAAGGAGATTTACATTTTCTCTGCAATACAATGTCCTAATATTAAGGTATATATCTAATTATGACCTAGTGACATTAAAAGGAAGGGGGTGTAATGTGTTGGCAAAGAGCAAAACGTAATAGCACAGCCAGTAAGTAAAAAAAAAAAAAAAAGCAAAGAATAAAAGGATCATGAGAATTTTACACCCTTGGTCCCAAGTGATGGATGGTAAATAAAAGATAAATACATGCAATGTCTGGAAGATCAGGAAAGATTCTACTAAGTCTCTGTCAGAACACAAGAACTTTGATATGTGAGTACAACGTAGCCTAAAATTTAAACTCCTGTTGGGAATCAAATGCATCACAGCATCCAAGTTACCCACCAACGAGTTAAAAATGTTTTGGAGATTTTGGGTTGCATTTTCTTTTTCAGAAAAAAACTAACACTGGCAATTTCTGTGACTACATGTGTACTTATTAAAAGTATTTTGTATATGTATTCAGAAAAACATATAGCCAAGTATTTATGTTAATTTTAGATGTTTCGCTAGAAGGTCAGATGTAGCAGTCTGTGATAGAATGATTCTATTCTAGGACTTGTTTTATAATCATATCTTTTTCTTTTACAGGGAGTTACTGAAAAGCACTGGTTTTCTGATGGATATCTCACCATCTTGCCAGTTYCCTACTATCCCTTTAAAAGTCTTACTTGTGAGAGGTCAACCTGCTGCCATAAAAATGATATGATCCATGTGACCACCTTCAAAATACACATCTTGCTTAGTAAAAGCAGAGAAAATATTTCCATATTCATGCAACAGGTTTATTACTAAGTCAGTGCTTACGGTCGGGATCATTTTTGGAACACCTTTTCATTCTGTAGTCTGCTGCTGCTTTTAGGGAGGCTTGCTTTATAAAACACTCATCACCATCTCATGAAAGACATAACGTCAATGAGTACAGTCACTATAAAGATAAGAAAATACCACTTTACTTAGAAAATATTTCCTTTTTGATCACAAAAATTGTCAAAATATTACTTTATATGTAAAAAAAAAACTCAACCAAACTGGGTAGCTTCAAAGATTAATTAGAAAGAACCTCTGATTTTTCATGTAAACATATCTTGCTTCACAGCAGGAGACAAAGGGAAACAAGATCATGCCTCCTACTGAAGGGCAATAAATACAATCTGTTCAAAGCTTCAGTGACTGGTATTCCAACAACCTACCTTGAAAAGAATGCACAGACTAGTAGTGTAGGCTGTATTGTCACTAATATAAAGTCTTTTGGATTTAATGATGTAACAGCTGAGTACTACTGCACATGCAATCAAGCACAGGAGATGCTACATAAGTCTCAGATGCTAAATGAAGATCATGCCTGTATAAGACAAAAAGTACCAGATGGTCTCTGTTTAATTCCCATCAGTTTCTTTTAGAAAAATGGTTCCAGAAAGCTTCTGTATACTATCAAGATTCATAAAAGCGTAGGTTACTTCTATTCTGCAGTTATTTGTGTAATGCCTGTTGAATCAACAACCGCTAGAGGGTGGAATCCCAGTAGCTGTGAATTAATTCTATCAGAGTTTCATTTCCTTCATTAGCTGCAGAAAGCCTCAAGGTAAAAAAAAAGAAAAAAAGAAGATGGCAAGAGRAGAGTTGTCAGCAATTCAAGGGAATAAAAAAAAAAGGAAAAAGGATTCTCATTTTCCAGCACAAATTATCTCAAACACTATGCATTTGCAAGCAGTATAAAGGAGACATGGCATGATCTAATTCGGAGYGCAGAGTATATCAAAATAAATTAGAGCAAAGTGATGAAGACAGAGACAGCATATAAAARAAAGGCACTCCTCTGATGGGAAAAAGAAAGTCACTCTTATCCTGATTAGCTGCAGGCTACCAAGACTCTTTTACTGTATTACTAAATTGCAAAGTTTTTTTTTCAAAGCTTCAGAACTAGCTTACCTCAAATACAGCTTCATCTCTGTAAGAAGGAAAATTTTCCAGTACAAGATGTAGCAGTTTCTGAGCACTCTTCTCACTCATTTTAACACAGGTGAGGAAAGAGCCTCCAAACTTCTCTAACAGAACTATTCCACTTTCATTCAGCACCCGATGTCTTTCTTCAATCAAAGGTAAAGGCACTTCTGTGTCAGAGCGAAATACATGCCTAACCTGGTCAAGCGTCATGGTGGCAAAATAGGATGCACTGGTGATAGGTATTCCTTAAAAAAAATAAGATATTTAGGCTATCATATAATGTAACATATACACTTAATCCAGTAGTCTGCTACAAGAAAGCACTTCTACACAAAGATCTAAAAAGGCTATAAACTCTTAAACCCACCTTTGTTTTCAGTGATAGCCGCACTCACAGAGCTGCTCAAAACAAAGTTTTTGAGTGCACACAAGGCTTTCTTCCACAGAAAACAAATTTCCAACACAGAAACCATGGAACTGTTCTTACTTTTTGTATCTAATTTTTTCCAGCTGCTTAGTCTTTCTATTTTGAGTGTGGTGTTTTCATAGAACACTGGCAAATATAGTCAGTAWATAACTACTGTAGTTAGTATAGGCCTGTTTTCCCTTGTATCCTAACCACAATGTGCATTCACAGAAAGTATCTTAATGCTCATGCTTCCTTAATTTACAAATAACTATGCAGAAAACGGATTAACACTTTGATACCTACAATTTTTTTTTTTTTTTTCTGAGAATCGCAAGGAAAGTGAGTCCTTAAGTACCGGGTTTAAACACAAAACTTTGAAATACTGTTTTGATGGCCATGTGGGTTTTGAAACTTACTTTAGCCCCTCTGGCGTTAGATTAGTCCAGAGGATTCTCAGTCTACGCCTTTTCTTTCATTTGCCACGGAAATACACAATTTATCTTACGAACACATGCGAAATAACCCAAGTCATGTACAGCTGAGTACTGTCAATCCTTAAAGTCTTTCGAATGGAAGAGATAACCCAGTTAGAGCCACGAGTTAGGTAGTTTCAATACAAGGGTATTTTGAAAGTACTTCCAGTTCCCTTCCCCAAGCTCCACGGGACTCTTGCACATACAGAGCTACAGACACAGCGAGCAGCAGTTCCCTAGAGCGGGTCTCGCTTCCAAGGCACCGCCTTTATTTAATACGCGACACTCGCTTCCGAAGCCCCTCGCCCGTTGCCCCGGCCCGGCCCCCCTCCGCCGGCGCTCACTGACCGTCGTCCAGGGCCCTGTTGACGGCGGCGCAGAGCGACCAGTAGCCGCTGTAGGTTTTATCCTTGTACTTCACAAGGTACTTCCGCTCCTCCTGCTCAGACCAGAAGGAGAAGTTGAGGGTGTCCACCAGGAACACCCAGTCCACAGCGTCCTTGTCGGCGGCCCGGGGGTTCAGCTCGTGGAGGCTTTTCCAGCCCGCCAACCCGAACTCCACCGTCGAGGCTTTGTCGAACAGGCTCTCCGCCACCCGCCGCGCCCCCTCCTCGTCCACGGAGACATCTTTGCTGTGCTCGGCGATGAACTTGGCGGACTCCAGCGGGGACGGGAACACCTCCATGCTCGCCAGGAAACGCGCACGCTGCCGAGGCCAGCCCTGCGCGGCGCTTCCCGCGGGGCGCGCACACGGAGCGGCGCAGGCTCCCCGCCCTCAGCGCGGCTCTGGCGGCCCTGCCCCGCTCCGCTCCCCGCCCCCGCGGTGCGGCCGCTGCGCGCAGGCGCGAGWGGAGGCGGGGCGCAGGCGGCTCTCGGGGGCGGGGGCAGCGCCCACCCCAGGCTCGCCGGAGCCCCTGGGCCGGCACATCCCTACTGAGAATCGCCCCCTCAATTCCTGCCACGCTGCAGCAGTAGGCACTCAGCTTCGTGGCAGCCAAGTTTGCCGGAATGTTCGCGTCATTTAAAAAGAGGAAAAAAGCCAAACGAACAAAAGCATGCTGAGGTGTTGAGCTTTTCTCTCCAATCAAAACAGAAAAACTAAAGACCATCCACAACCGCTCCTGCATACATTTTCAAATTGAAGGCACAGAGAAATTCAGCACCTGTTTTACTTCATTTGCATTTTGCTGAAAACCTTTGCCTCCATTTAAGTACCCTCTGGGTGACAGCATTTTGACTTTCTATAGACTTCGCTAGTGCTCAGCCAAGGGTGCCAGCCTCATGTGCAACACCTCAGGCTCCTTGCTTTTACCATTCCATTTTAAGAATAACTGCATGAAAAAGGCCAAGCTCATGCACCACGAAACCTGGGGAGGAGGGAAAACATCAAACCAACCAATCAAAAAAAAACTACAATAAAAGAATCCACACTTAGTCTAGTCCCAGCATATCTATATGTGCCACACACCTTTGCACTTTTTAATCTGTTTTTATTCAGGAAGTGAAATTAAAACTTTTAACTATAAATACAAATGCCAAGGTATTACATGAGATATCCAGGTTTGATATTTTTTTAATTTCTCACAAATAATTTTTATGGAATTCAACATACATCTGGGAAACCAAACAAGTTGAAGTTTTGCATACAATGAAAAACAAGTTACAGAGTTATACTGTTGATTTGCCAATTCACAATTTCTACCTCATACAAACAAAAGCTCAGGAAACAGGTATAATTTATTCAGTAATGGTAGAGCAATTGTCATTTCTAACAGCGTTATCTGCATTAAGCAAGCTGTCTATAACCAGGTGTATTTCACTCCTGTTTACTCAGTGACATCAAAACGTTTTAAAATATTTTATTTATATACTGTTACCAATATATATATGTATTGTAAAGAGGGCCAAACACTTGCAAAAATGTAAGGTTTTACACAACATTTGCGTAAATATCTTCACTTTTTTCCCCCTCAAACAGCAAAGCAGCCTTTGTTTTCACACGATTTCTTTAATGTGTCAAAAACCCCATGTAACTCCACCTATATATCAAGGAAACTGAAGAGCAAGCTTAACAGCAATTTTAATTTATATGGGAAAAAAAATTCTAGGTGTATCCATTTTAGTTATTACCTTAAGTAGACCTGAAAGAAAATGACCACCAAGAATAGGTTCACTAAATTTATTTAAAAATCCTAAAATGTTTCTTACAAAAAAGCATTACATTCTGCACACTGCTCTCAACAAATGCCAGGGAMATGTGGCCTACCATATTCTCCCCCCTTCAAAGTAAGATACAGTGTACATAAAGCAGGGTGTTCACAACAATTACAGAAAAACAGTACAATTTACCACCAACGATGAACAAAAATAGAATTCACTCTCTCTGCTGCTTCAAAATTTCAATGTTAGTCTCGTGCGCCCTTCCCCCCCATGTATTTGCAAGGAACTAAAACATTACATCTGGTGTACAGCAAAGATTCCACTACACCTCAAATGCAGAACACCTATGAAGCAGAGGAATGTTGGCTTTTTAAACAGAAGCAGATAAAAAAAAAAAAAGGGGTGCAGGACTCCTTCAGTTCTTCACTAGTCTTAGAAAAACTTTCCAGAATACTGCTTCACACTATAAAAAAGAAAAAATAATCTTGCATTAGAATCCTTCAACATCTGCATACTGCTTCACACTATAAAAGAAAAAGAAAAAAGCATGTATTAGAATGATGGACCATACATCTTGCATCAACATTAATATTGACATTCTTAGAGCATATTAAATTAAAAATTCCTAATGCATTTAAAAATAAATAATTTTAAAGTATCAATGGCTAATGATTTTATTAGTATATTTCAGGCATAGTTAAATATTAGTAATCTAAAACCAAACACTCCAGTTAAGACATTAAAATCTGCTACAGCGGCCAGAATGTTAATACAGCAAATGATATCTGAAGCTGTTAATACTTGGCAGAAAAGGCAAAGTACTGTCAGCAAGGTGTGAAATGCTGCATAACAGTCCCAAATCGATTTCAACTTGTCCTGTAGAGGCATGGTCTGTGCCATATGGCAGACTGTGATTTGTTGTCAATTTAGTTATCTAAAAACAACAAAATCACTAGTCTTCCACACAGAACTAGGCCAACATCCACTGAAATCTTCTATATTTTCTACAGGCTCTATGTAATTTATTACAAGTAGTTTTTTTGCAGCAGTTTTCACCAGAGAAAGTAGAGGACTGCTTGGTTAAGATGTCTTCCAGCAAGATTAGTTTTGAGGTCTTCATTTTAATTAGAATGGAAAACAGAAGAGAATCAAGGCAGAACTACCACTGGAGAAGTTAGGTTCAAATAGTTACTTAAAAACTGCCTTCTTTAAAAACTGATTCGCAGAGGACAGCAGTTTTACAATACACGTTAATTTAAAACTGACAGCAGGGACAATATTAAACTTGCCTGTTCTGCAGCAAATACTGTGCATTTTGTATCTGGTCCTGTGTTCCTGTAATAGTTATTATCCGATCTTCTGAGCCTTCTAATGGTTCATCGATTTTGATCGAAGCTCCTGACTCATGACGTATTTGTTTGATTCTCTGGCCTCCCTTTCCAATAATAGATCCTGCCAACTAGGGAAGAAAGMAAAAAATTAATTTGCTGATACAACTTTCTTTCTGAAAACTTAAAGGAATTACAGCAGCATTTGAGTAGTTCCAACAAATTCAGTTTTAAGTRTTACAATGGGAGCTTTATAGCCTAAACATACCCCCTGCAGTATTAATTCTATGAACATAGGTGGGACAAAACTGGGAGAACCAGCTCTCTCATTTGCAAAACACAAGTTACACAGACAATCTCTATTATTGATTATTAATCATTAGTAAAATTGTCTAATGTGTCTCTGAAGACAGAAACCAGTCAAACAATACACTGCTGGTAGTTTAGTATACTTGTTTTGTATTACAAGTGTTTATCAAGCACTTCAAGTATTTCTGATTTACTTAGTCTAAGAAATGGCTACAACTTTTTTTTAAGGAGAAGGCATGAGCTGAAAGCAAGTCAATTTTACTTACATCTTTGGGAATCGTTACTTGTGTTGTGATGATGGGTCCACCAAGATCTCCATAWGAACCACGTCCCCCTGCGTAAGAATAATCTGATTTAGGTGTATGCATCAAGCCCTTTACCAACTACAAAATGAACTGCATGTTAAAGTTCTATATGAACACTTACCATAACCAGAGCCACCCTCAAACTGTAAGAGAAAGAGAAAAAAACATCCAAGTGAATAGCCATGCTTCATTAACGCATTTTTGTCTTAAGCATTATACTGTTAACTTTGAGCCCATTTAATCAAACATCTGAACCATCAACCTGATATAAATACAACAGTGTTGTGACATCAAAGGCACCCTGAAGCAAAGAGGGAAGACCAGGAAAAAAAGGGGTGGGTGAGAAAGACCTCATTAACCTGTCCGTTTGGACCAAAGGCCACCTTGTGCAAGACCATGAGTTGGACGTGGTAAGCATTGCAGGTCCCACCCAACTCCAGATTTTCTGTGATTCTTATCCTGCCCTGTCAAAACCTCTGAGAATAAGGCATAAAATGACGTRAGGGATTCAGCTATGGTGTTTATCAAGGCAGACTATCTCAGCTTCTCACAGGTGCCTCTTGATGCTGATATACCTGTGACCTTTGTATTAAAAGAAACATTTAAATTACAAGATCAGAATAGAGCCTAATTAATGTCATCAATACAGCTCACAAGAGACTTCAATCTTATACTGGGGCAAGAAATCTACCCAGCAACTGTCAATCCTACTTCATCTACATCTTTGGGAAAAAAAAAACAACAATGCTCTACAACTTGTCTCTTGATTTAGGCTGTACTACAGCCCTTTAAATCTCCAAACAAATAATCATGTTACTTCTTTTACATTTGAACCCCCATATACCAAATGCAAATCACTGCAGTGAGCATTCTTGGCACTTTTATTTTTAGGATTTGTAAATTTGCATTTGAGACCAAGTTCTCATTTAATCTAATGCCTTCCAAGTGTGTGCAAGACCCCACATTCATACTTTCCTAACAAAAGCACGGCATAAATATACATGGYTCTCCCAAATTCAGCTTCTGAATGATAAGCCCACGAAGATAGGCACACTGCACCCATTGAGGGACGCCGAGAACAGGCAGATATGCCCTGGAGAAAGCTGCAGTTTGTGCAGACTCCAAGCAGGCACAGAAGCCTGGCAATCACATGTGGTCTGTGAGGGTACCAACACCGAATCAGTCTGCTCCTGAAGGAMTATACCCCATGAAGGGGACTGATACTGGGACAGTTTTTAAATGCGGTACACTGGAAACAGACTATTTGAGCAGTTTACTAACAACTGTATCATCCCATGGAAGTGACCCTACATTGGTRCAGGGGAACAGTGCAAGGAGGAAGGAACAGCAATAAATGTGATGAACTGACTTGGAAACCACAAATCCCTATCACCCCTGCACCATTCACAGCAGAGGAAGTAGGAAATGAGGGAATGCAGGAGTGAAAGTTGAGTCTGTGAAGAAGTGAAAGGTGGGGGAAAGGTGTTTTTACCTTTCTCACCAYACCACTCAAAGTGGCAGTAAACTTACATGAAGTCAACAGTTTTACCCATGATGTTAATTACTAAGTGATCTCCCTGTCTTTATTATGAGCCACCGACTTCTGTCTTCTCCCCTCAACCTACTAAGGAAGGGGCGTAAGAGTACCTGGGTGGGCCCCTAGTTCAACCAACCACAATCATCTGCTCAAGGACCTA